CCAAGAGGCCACACACACACACATACACACATACACACACAATCACCATGACCTCTCACCAGCTAAGACCACTCCAGGAAGCCCACGCCTCCCACCTCCCCGAGGACGCTGTGAGTAAAGCACACTTGTCATCTCTACAACTTGCTTTTGTCACAAAGGACTGACCCATAAAACAAAAACCAATGATTAACTTTTGCTCCCTGAAAAGTCACAAACAAGAGCAAGTTATTTCCTATATTGCAGAGCTGTGGCATAAGAAGACATTACTTTTCCCCAAGTTCTCCAAAGCAGCTTTAAAAACATTTCCCATAATGAGTTAGTCTTTGAGCTACCACAATACAGAACACTAAAGAGGTAAGTTCCATGACTGAGACGTTTATTAATCACATGGACATTTGGGTTCAAAAATTTCCCTGCACACAATCAGCCTTTGTTTTGAATCTGCCTTTGCTTCTGAGACACCTAGAAAATACTGTTCCAACTCCCCCAATTCTAGGTGTCTGGAATTGGCTTTGTTCATTGTAGGGTTCGACCAGGAGTCCTGGGGTGGTGCTGGAAGATAAGCACTGGACCACAAAGTCAGTTTGAATCTAACCGCAAAGTCGGTGGTTCAAAACTCACCAGTCGTTCCTCAGAAACCCTACACAGGGTTGCTATGAGTCAGAGTCAACTTGACAGCACTTAATAACAATAACTGTAGGGCAAACTATTATACACCGGTTTCTTTGCTAGGCGCTGGCGTGACATGGTCTATTAGGAAAGTAAAGCAAAGGATGGTGGAGGGGTAGTGTGCCGTGGAGTCGGTTCCGACTCACAGTGACCCTGTATATGGTTTCCGCAGTTGTAAATCTTTATGGGAACAGACAGCCTCATCCTTCTTCAGCGGAACGGCTTGTCGTTTCAAACTGCTGACCATGAGATTATCAGCCTGACTCGTAACCACTACGCTACCAGAGCTCCTTAGTAAAACAAATACTTTACTGGAAATAGGTATTTATCAGAGCAAATGAGACCTATCACAGCTGTGAGGAATTACACAAACAAAATCTTAAAGGAAAAGGAAGCCCACAGAGGTGAGCCTGCTTTTCAACTGACCCCAGAGGTCTATTGATTCAAACAGCAGAGTGTAAGACTGAGAAGGTAAACAGAACTTTCAGTATTTTCTAGGCATAAAAAAACAAGAGTTCAGGAACCCCTAAGGTGGAGAAGCCTAGGTTAAAAGCCCCAGACTTTAAGTTGGCACCTGCAGAACTACAATCAGGGTAAGCTGGAAACAGATTAGCCCTTAGAGGGCCTGAAGCTTGGCTTCAAATCATCTCAATTCCTGACTGGATAAAGCCAATTTGAGCTAGCTTGTGCCCCTAGCCTAGAAGTTTCCAGAAACAAAGATAAAACCTTCCTAAGGAGAGAAAACACTATCAAGACCTTAAGTAATGTTTACAGTTTTTTACACATATCAAGTTGTTGTTGTAATGTGCCGTGGAGTCAGTTCCGACTCATAGCGACCCTATACAGGGTTTCCGAGGCCGTAAGTCTTTACAGGAGCAGAAAGCCTCATCTTTCCCCCGCGGAACAGCTGGTAGTCTCAAACTGCTGACCGTGAGGTTTGCAGCCCGATTCATAACCACTACGCTACCAGCGTTCCTTTAAGTATTCAGTCAAAAATAAGACTCAATGAGAAAACATGAGATGAGCAAAAGCCAAGAACAGACACCAAAAGCAGCTCCACAAGACAGCCAGGTATTGGAGTTAACAGATTCAGACTTAATCTCAGTGAGCTTTCACTTGACACTACCCAGAATGTCTTACATTGTAAAATGCCTACAATACCAAGTATTGACAGGGTGAATTGTTTCGGTTCTTTTTCTTTGTTTGAGAAATTTAAAGTAAATATAATAAATTCTTGAATAATCAGAAAAACCATACCTGTTGTTTCTGAGTGGATTCTGCAGAGTAGCAACCCAAAAACACAGAGCAGGACTGTGCCATAGGGTCTCCAAGGCTGTAATCTGGTGTGGCGCTGTGGGTTAATGTGTCAGACTGCAAAGTCATTTGAACTGCAAGGTTGGTGGTTCAAGCTCACCAGCTGCTCCTTGGAAACCCTATACAGGGTCACTGTGGGTCGGAATCAAATCGACGGCACTTAACAACAACAACCTTTACAGTAGCAGACTGCTGCATCTTTACTATTTGCAGAACAAATGGTGGGTCTGAACTGCCAAGCGCTTACCTACTGTGCCATCAGTCGGTAGGTGTTTGTTACACTGTTTCCTGTACTTGCTACCTCTCTGTAATATTTTAGAATTAAATATTTCAAAAAGAAGAAAAGAATGCAGCTAACAAAATATTAAGTGCCACTGAACTAGTTCTGACTCACAGCGACCCTGTATAGTGTTTTCAAGGAGTGGCTGGTGGGTTTGAACTGCCGACCTGTGGTTCAAGCCAAACTTGCAGTCCAGTGCTTCTCCTACAGCCCCACACTAGGACAGTGGTTAGAGAGATGTTGTTGTTGTTAGGTGTCATCAAGTGGGTTCCGGCTTATAGTGACCCTGTATAAGGTTTCTGAGGAGCGGCTGGTGGGTTTGAGGCACCAACTCTGTGGTTCAAACTAATATTGTGGTCCAGTGCATTATCCTGCAGGCTAGAAAGATTGTTGTTGTTAAGTACCGTGGAGTCAGTCCGTTCTAACCGATAGCAACCCTTAATAGGGTTTCCAAGGTTGTAAATCTTTACGGGAACAGAAAGCCTCGTCTTATTCCTGTGGAACAGCTGGTAGTTTCAAATTGCTAACCTTGAGGTTAGCAGCCCAATACACTACCAGAGCTGCACTACCAGGGCTCCTTCAGGCTAGAAAGAGAGCAGGTATGAAATCACTGCAGCCCTCCGAAGTCATATTCAGAACGTGTGCTGTGTCCTTCTACTGAAGGGTTTTAAACAGGAGAGTGGCATCATTGTATACGCTCTCTAGTCAACAGAGTGAAGGCAGGGCACCCAGCTAGGTTGCCGATGCAGTAACCGGGAGATGGTCGTCTGTGCGCTAGCAGTCAAGAATGGGATGAAGAAAAGCTGTTAAGACCTGAATGATGAAGTATGAGCTTCCGGGGTCTTGGGGTTTTAGTTTTCATGACTGCCGAATTTCACCCTTGTCAAATCAGCAAGCAATGAGACCACAATGACAAAGAGAAACCTACAGTGAGAACAATTCCACCTGAGAAGGGGCAACTTCCAGGACAGAGTCTGGAAACAATGAAAACAAGAAAAAAATGGAATTTTTCTGTCAATCCTTAGAAGACACAGCAGCAGTTAGAAAACTGAAAGCTAATAAGCAGTCAGCTCCACACCAGATGGTCAGACAGATACAGAATTCTGAAGCCTGTGCATCTCCTTCCAAACATGCAGATGCTTGTATCTGTAGAGGGGGGAAAAAAATCTATTTCTGATTCTGACAGCAAATGCAAAAGTCACATTGTGTCAGAAGAGAAAAGTATCTCCCAACCACAACCCCAGCAAGAATTTCACAAGCTGACTCTCCAGTGGAGAGAAAGGGGTATCTCTGACCGCTATTTTCACCAGCCCTGTCAGGGAAATGAAGGTGAGTGACAGTTTCTGAAGAAATCGGCTTTTTCATCTGTACCCAAGAAAGGAGATCTGTGCCTCTGGGTTATTCATGAGCAGCTTCACCTGTTACTCTGTGAAGAAAAATCAAGCGTATCAAACTGAAATGTATTCCCACTCTGAAAAATGGCCTGAGGCACCGAGTCTAAATTATGATAATTCCATCAATTACACTGAGCTGTTTAACTCTCCACTGAGAGACTGAAGAACCCATTTTCTTTAGCATTACCCTTTGTGCCTTTTCAAAAGGCTAAGGTTTGAAATTAAGCATATCAGTTCCCCATCTAGCTAGTTTGGGTATAAATATGAGTCTGCACATTCTTGGATCTGACTGACGAATGTCTTCTTTGCTAGGTATAGGATTTGTACATGATATTTTCCACACAATCTGTTCACACATTCAGGAACACACACACAGTCTCTTGATTTGTATGAATTCTGCTGGGAGAGCTTAGTGTTGGAGGCATACTGGTAGACTAAAAGCAGTCAACCTTCTTTCTGTTACAGAACAAGGTAAAACTTAGACAAATATATGTCTTAGATTCCCAGGGTAGAGGGTGTCTGACATACTGAGAGGTTCAGAAAATGCATACTACGTGACTCAACATTCACTCAGAAATTATCATCTACCATCTTGACCAAATAGTGAGGCCTAGTGACAAAGCCAGCCAATCTAAACTTTGGCATCTAGGTACGGGTAAATACCATCTAACAGATCTGAGTTGTTGTTGTTATTGTTGTTAAGTGCCACTGAGTCAGTTCCAACCCATAGCGACCCTATGTAGGGTTTTTGAGGAGAGGCTGGTGAGCTTGAACCACTGACCTAGCAGTTAAAACTGATATTGCGGTCCAGTGCGTTATCCTGCAGTGCCACACCAGGACTGAGAGGTTACTAAGAAAACATTAAAAAATTTTACATCATTATTTATGGATCTCAAGCCGAGCAAATTACAAAAATGAACAGTCTCTGAAGTGAAAGCAAATTCTCTCCAATAGTTATCCTCCTCACACGTCTAGTGGTACAAATACGCTCACAGACCTTTCTTTACAAATGCTTTGAGAATGAAACAAGAAATGTGCTTAGTGTCACTTTGGGAACATCCCATTCGTGATTTCAAGGATATATAAATACGCTTCAGAAGCACACAAAATTCTTGTAATTCTACCTGCTGCATTAACCTGTACAAATTAACAGTGAAAATTTCCAAGTGATCATCTGATACTTGCTTGCTCACCTGCCTGTTCACCCAGATGCACCTTGGGGACACACACTTAAGCACTACATTTCCAACATGCCAGAGATTAATGCCAAGAAAAAACCCCACAGATTTCTCAGGGAATGGACATTACCTGTCCAAGACAGATGCTCTGAGAAGGAAACTCACCGGGTTAAGTGTTTCATCAGCAGTATGATGAACGGTCCACCAGTCGGCAGTCCACTCCCACACATTCCCCACAATGTTGTACAAGCCATAACCATTGGGAGGGAAGGCATCCACCTAAAAACAAAAAGGTGGCCTGCTGTCAAATAAATACTCACCATGGTTAGAAAGTCTCTTCAGTGTGAAAATGCATTCCGTGCTAGGACTTCAAAGTGTGAATGAATATTAATTTTCATTCCAACAGTCAAACTATAATTTGGCCAATGCAAACAATAAGAGGCGTGTTTGGGTTTGGGGTTTTTAAGAGATTAAGCACCAAAGTAGAATTTGTTACATGTAGGAAAGCTAGCAAAATTATTCCTAATGGAGATGAATATTGATCATAAATCAAAACTCTATCTGGCAGTATGTGGCAGAATTTGAATGCAATATCATGTTGTTTCCTGTGAAATCTTGTCACCAGAGCTGACCCTTGCAGGCCACACTGAGAGAACCTAAGTCAATTGCTTCTCTCTACCGGCCCCTCCAACTTACCACCTTATCTGTAAGCTTCACTTACTGTCATTAAAACACTGAAGGGACTTGTTTTTATAAAGAAAATGTGACCTCCTTATCAAGCATTCAGGAATTCTGAGGCAAACCATACAAGTTCTTCAGCAAGAAATTCTATCACATTTCAAAGGCAGGTCAGACAGTCTGCCACACAGTCTTTCATAGTCACAAAACCAAAGTGTGTTAAGGCTTTTTAAGAAGAGGACGGAGGGAGGAACACAAGAGTAAAAACTTTAACTATAAACAACAGGAAGCGTAGTTTGGTGATTTTAGTGACCGACTTCAAATTTTTTCCCAAAATTTCTCATGAAAATTCTCAAACATCAAGCAAAAAAAATAAAAATCAAATAATCTTCAGAATTAAAAAACATATATATTTGTAAATTCCTTCTTTTTTCCATACTAATGAGGCAGGAATGAAGTAATGAGTAAATTATAAGTCATTTCCATTTAGCTTCTGAAGGTTTCAGGTCTACACATAAATATGGAAGTAGCTGATGCTTGGGTAATTCAGAGCACTTCAATCAAAGGTCTGAAGTCACTCTGAAAAAGCTTTACCTCAAAGAAGAGGAGGAAAGCTGAAGAATTTCAGCACTCTGCTTCTGTAATTAGCACTCATGATTGAGAAGTGAATTCAGTAAAATCTGTACAGACCCATTGAAGGCAGCAAGGGATTCAACAAGACACAAAGCCTCAGCAGCTTAATGGGGACGGGGGAGATAACCCACCCAAACCAAAAACTCCCAGAAAGGCATAACAGCTGCGGCGGACTCTCATTCCTTTCGTGAGCCAACAATTGGCCTTCAAGTCAATTCCAACTCCAGGACACTGACTGACTTGCATCATAGTAAAGCTATGTTCCACAGGCTTGTCAATGGCTGAGTTTTTGTAAATGCATCACCAGGCTTTTCTTTTGAGATGTGTCTAGTGGGCACAGCCTTCCAACCTTTTTGTTAGCAGTAAGCCATTAGCCATTTGCACCACCCAGTGAGTGCTATGTATTGTTGCTGTTAAGTACCTTGAGTCACAGTTACGAATCATAGCAACCCAGTACAGAGTTTCCACAAAGCTGCTGGTGGGTTTGAACTGCCAACCTTGTGGTTCACAGTCCAGTGCCATACCAGGAGTCCTTCTATGTATGTTGTTGTTGTTATGTGCCGTGGAGTCGGTTCTGACCCATATAGACCCTGTACAGGGTTTACGTTGTTGTTGTTGTTGTTGTCAGGTCCCATCGAGTCGGAACCGACTCATAGCGACCCCATGCACAGCAGAACGAAACACTGTCCGATCCTGGGCCAACTTCGCTACCGCTGCCACACTTGAGTCCACCAATGATGCCACCTGGCCAATCCATCTCGTTGGGGGTCTTTCTCTTTTTCTCTGACCCTCCACCTTACCCAGCATGACATCCTTCTCCAGCGACTATTTCCTCTGGACAATATGTCCAAAGTATGAGAGACGAAGCTTAGCCATCCTGGCCTCCAAGGAGCACTCTGGCTGCACTTCTTCCAAAACAGATCTAACGTTAGGGAGTAAAAAGCCTCATCTTTCCCCTGCGGAACAGCTGGTAGTTTCTAACTGCTGACCCTGAGATTCGCAGCCCGATTTGTAACCACTACACTACCAGAGCTCCTTTCTTCTATGTGTAAACAGCACCAATTTAAAAGTACTGGTAGAGTTAAGCCTAAATTCCCTTCCTTTTCTCTCTATTGAACCTGCTTCTCAAATTGGTTCCTTGAGAGCTGTTGGTAACTGTTTCTACTTCAACTCAGTTGCTTCCAATGGCAATTTCTTCAAGTTAAACGTTTTAATTCAAAACAAGGTAAATGTTTTAACTCAAAACATCAAATTCAGTATGAAACTGAACTTGGTGCTTTCTGAAAACATGCAATGAGTAAATGGTTCTAGGCTGGCTGGCAGAACCTGTACTTTGGACATTTAAATGAATATGTATTTTTGTGTTTTATAAATGTGCCTCAAATATATTTGCCTTGCTCATTTGTGAAAAATAAGATGTAAATGGGTAGCCACAAGGAGGAAGTGGGATAAATGTTGCAGAGAGGAGACTGTAATCACTGAGATGAAACAAGGTGAATTGTATGCTGAGTGTACAGCTGATGATCTTGTCTGTAAACCTTCACCCAATTCACATTAAAAAGTTAAAAAGAAAGAAGAGTAAATGGTTCTCCTTTCCTTGGCAGCTCATGTCATTTTTGTTTTTGTTTTTAAATCTTTAATGACAAGCACTGAAAACTATTTGTAACTGTCCAATACATTTTTTTCTCCATAGTAAAGTGTTAAGGGAAAAAAAAAAAAAACATACAGAGAAAAAGGACAGGAAAACAATCACAGTGATATATTTATTTGTGCATAATCTGCAAATTTTGGAGATTCAGAGTTCTGATACACTGTTTCCTGCAGCTGTAATATACAAGAATGTATAGTCTCTTCTCCCTCACTACCTCCAGGTCAATTCTGACTCATCAATTCAGATGGCAAATCTTTACAGGAGCAGACAAGCTTCATCTGTCTCCTTTGGAGCAGCTGGTGGTTTCAAACCACTTAATTTTGCAGTTAGCTTACCCTACAACACTTACCCTATAGCACCACCAAGCCTCCTTATAGAGGCTTTTGTTGTTGTTGTTGTTATGTGCAGTGGAGTCGGTTCTGACTCATAGCAACCCTGCACAGGGTTTCCAAGGCTGTGAATCTTTTTGGGAGCAGAAAACCTCATCTTTCTCCCGTGGAACAGCTGGTAGTTTCAAATTGCTGACCCTGTGGTTCGCAGCCCAACTCGTAACCACTACGCTACCAGAACTCTTAGGGTGGCCATATTCAAGAAGGGCAGTGTTTATTCATCTTCTATCATGTGCCCTCATTTCACAATGCTTTTAAGACTAGGAAAGAGGACTTCCTATCTAACGCTAGTGTTTTTTTTTTGAAGTTTCTTGAAGTTTGTACTTTGTTTCTACAATTTTTTTTTTAATTTCATTATGGTTCAGGTGAAAGCTATGTAGGAAATCAGTTTTCCATTCAATAATTCATACATTACTTGTGCCATAACATTGGTTGCAATTCCCACACTATGTTAGTGTTCTGTTTTCACCCTGAGTTTCCCATTTGTATTCATCGGGTTTCCCTACCAATACAGTCTTATCACCGTTTACTTTTCATACTGTCAGGTGCTTATACAATGAGTTCCTCGTCATGGTTACCTCAAGGTCAGCAGTGCAAAACTACCAGTCGTTCCTCGGGAGAAAGATGAAGCTTTCTGCTCCCCTACAGATTTAAAGCCTCAGAAACCCCGTACAGGGTCACTATGAATTGGAACCCACTCCACGGCACAGAACCAACCAGCCAATGGGGCAATTCAAACAAGGGCAAGAGGAACCATCACTCACGCCTGCAGGGTGCTCATCATCTCTCAGGACCAACTGACTCATGCTCACTTTGTTCACATCGAACCTTTCTCCACTTGGGCCACTCAAATTCACTCAGAATTCCCATTTGAGTTCTTGTTGTAACAACTAAGACCTGCGCCTGCAACCCCACCCAGGCCTGCGCCCCAAGTGTTGAGACTTAGGTAGCAAATTTCCTTGTCAGACAGCATACCTGTGGCTCCCAGGTGCTGAGGTCTTCTCGTGCAAGTCGCTCTCACGTGTCTGGATACAGGAGGCCAGATGTGGACTGGACACTCAGCCACCAGAATCCGCAGGTGAGTTGTTAAACATTTGGTAGTGGACTCAAACTTCCCTGGCCACTGTCCTGCTGTCTGTTATCAGCTCTTTCTTGGGGTCTGATGAGATCCCACATCAGGCACCTGAACTGGGCATGCTGTTCATTCCACAGTGCTAGTTCTGCTTACCAAAAGAGGCGTACTAGACATGGTAGGTTCCATACCATGCCCACTTCTATGCCAGGAGGCTGGACATCTTACCCATTTAGAAGTCTGAAAAAAGGCTGAAAATATTTCAGTCCCCAGACCTTTGTTCTTATGCTTTAGCAAATAAAATTCTGTACTTTCGAGAGCATCAGCAATAGATGGTCCAGTTAGTCTTTGCCTCTACATCTTGGTTGGGTGGACAGTTTAAAAGTCAGGACCCCTGTGGACCTCCACCACCACTTACTCTGGCATCCTTCTACCCAGATAGAGCTCACTGCCTTCTGGGCCCTAACACACACTGCATACTGCACCTCTGCGGCACAGCTGGCACGATGGACCCAGGGTGTGCCCTTGGCAATAGTAGAGGCTCCTGGAGTGTTTCAGATTATATGAGATAAAACACATATAAAACCAAACCAAACCCATTGCTACCAAGTCGATTCCAACTCATAGGGACTTTGCATAGGGTTTCTGAGACAGTAAATTTATGGGCACAGACAGCCCCATGGCTGGTGGGTTTTAACTGCGGACTCTGATGTTAGCACCTTAACACTTAACACATAGTGCCAAAAAACAGAGACAGCAAAATCCCTGAAGCTGAACAAGAACCCACATAATAAATGCCAGATGTATATTTCTATATTTGCTTTAAGCCAAGAGTCAGAAACTTATTCTTAAAGAG